ACACACACACACACACACACACACACACACACACACACACACACACACACACACACACACACACACACACACACAGGTTGTAATGTTGTTGCAGGTCTCTCTGTGGCAAGCTGACTAAATGACAACATCAATACTTCATCTGTACATCAATAGTTAAGGAGGCAGGAGACCAACACACATGCTGACGTTAAGTAAACAAACCTGTTAGCATTGAGTCATCACAGTGTTCTTATATGAGTCCTCAGAGCTTCACTGACTCACCAACATAAAGGAGTTATTGTTAGAGAAACAAGTTAACAAAGCAGGAGGAAATATCTGCTTTTCATCCAGAAACACTGGAACCTACATCTCAGGGTGTTTCTCAAAGTCAAGGATGCTTCCTTGGTAGGACGCATGTGTTGTATAACCAGCTGTGTAACCCGGTGTTTAACCAGGTACGTAACCAGGTGTTTAACCATCTTTAACCAGGTGCATAACCAGCTTTAACCAGGTGTATAACCAGGTGCATAACCAGGGGTACATCTCAAGTCTCTTAATTGTCATTTTTTTCGATCCTCGCTCGAACCGGAAGTTGTTCTGCACCGCCATATTGACGGCCGTCCCAAAGCTCTTATTTAGCTCTGAGGAGCGAGGATGGAGGAGGGAGGAGGGATCTCTGAGGAGCCATGAGCGAGGACCCACGAGAACAGACTTCCAGGAAGTGTTTTAACGGCCGACACGCCCCCTCATTGTTCATCAGTCATGTGATTGGACGCTGCAGCCGATCGGACTGATGAGATTTTGTTCAACATGTAAACAGTGAAGACGGATCACAGATTAAACTCTAGCTTTATATTTGATTCGTTTTCTGATTCAACATCTGATTTAAATAAATGTTCATTGTAGTCTGAACAACAAAAGGACCACAAACAACTTTCTGCATCTATTAGAAAGATTTTTGTTTTCATGATCTGATGTTTCCCTCAATAACTTTATTATGAAGACATTTAAAGTCAGAGAGAGCTGGAGAGACTAAACACTTTTTACATCATTCCTGAGTGTTTGATGAGTTTTATCATTTAAGAGAAACAATAATCATATTCTGGGTTATTTAATAATGACGTCACAGTCATAGTTTCAAAACGTACAGACGCAAATAATTCATAAATAAGACGATCGCATTCCGCCGGTAGAAATGGATCCTGTGCTTATAAACAGAACACAGGACACAGTTTAACAGACTACAGAGAGAAACACCTCTACAGTGGTGATTACTGTGTCTTTATTAGTTATTAGTATTATTAGTTACTGTTATTAAGTACAGTGATCATGTGAACAGACACAAACTTATCAAAAGACTCTCCAGCTGTTAAAGCCGACTGACAGCTGATCAGCTGTGATCAGCTGATCCTCCGTCATCAGAAACAGACGTCGCTTCACGTGACGCAACTGAGGAAAGGACGTCTCATGTCTCTTAAAACATATTTCCTCGTTCCTCTCTCCTCGCATGGTTTCCTCCATGCATCCCTGGTGGGAGGGACTAGGACGCAAGGAAAGGACCCAAGTGAGGGAAACGGGGATGACATTAAGAGACTTGGGATGTGCCCCATGTGTGTGACCAGGGGTGTGACCAGGGGTGTGACCAGGGGTGTGACCAGGGGTACTGTACCTGGGATCCGTTGAAGACTCCGACCTGGACGAGGCGACCTGGCTTCTGCTGGTAATTCAGGATGCTGTAGGTGGCGAAGCGTCGGTCTCCGTCATCATTAAACTCGATTCGTCCGGTCAAACCGTCGGGGTACTTGGATGACATCAGCACTCTGGAGATCCAATCAGAGAGCAGGAAGAGTGAAAGCGGTTTAGTATTGGCTGTGACCTGAACGTAAAGACGAGGTCACGTGACCTCGCTGCCTGTGATACTGGACCACATAAACAACAGTGATCCTAACTGGACTCGATGGTGTATGTAGGTCACACATAGAGGAGAGCAGGACTGACAGGGAGTTTTATTATGATCCTTGTGGAGAAGCTGACTCCAGATCAGATCAGTGGAGCTGAAGGTGGAGCAGACAAGTCCTGATCTCAGTGGACAGCAGAGAGAGTCCGGTCCTGTGAGACCAGAGACCAGAGCCTGAGGGCTCCACTGATGGTAGTAAACACTGACTCCTACTCTCAGTGAAGCTATTGAAATCAAATACAGCTCCATCATTAGTTTGATTCCAGCATGTCAGAGGAACTGGTTTTAAAGATCCAGTAAAATATATCAGAGCTTTCTCTCTTTTCTTTCTGTAACATATAATCAATGACTCGTTCTTTATCTGGGTTGATACAGATATTTATCACACTTTCCCACGTTTTCACACTCCATAGCAGTAAGAAAATAGCAACTGTGGTATTTTGATGAAACACAACTTATGGAGGTCTTCAAACTAGATTTAGACCTTGAGCATCATCATGTCAGAAGACACTGTGATCAACACCTCCACAGCTACGTGAAGTCTAATGACCTCAAACTAACTGCCTGATATCAAACCTGGCGGTTCTGGGGGGTTTGTAATCCAGCGTTGGCCAGATGTGTGGAGGTCAGCTCTCTACTGTCTCTATTGAATAAATCGAAGCAAAGGTTTGTTAGTTATGAATCTTACTGCTCTTCTTGGTGAGACACGCCCTAGTGAGCTGGTTGAGGCAGAGACGACTAGTTAAGCTTACTTGTTAATCTTCAACCTGGAGTAGTTCGGGTCAGGACAGGAGGACCCGGACAAGATGGGTAACCAGAACCTCAGTGAGGATGAACATCGAGTCAATCCTGGCAGTGAGATTCATAATAGCCTCATTTTAAACTGGCGCATTGACAAGATAACGTCACAGGTGATTGGATGAGCCATCTGTCAATCAACCTTCAGTGTCGTTCTGCTCTTCTTTCAATGAAGAATTGCTCTCCACTTCTGATAGAACTGATGCTATTGTAGCATCTATGCTAACCCCACAACTAAGCCCCGCCCCTTAGCTCCTCACTGGACTCTAATTGGTCCATGCTCTGGTTTACTGGACAGAAACACATGACTTGAAGCCCGGTTGACCTCTGACCACGGGCGGCGGCGGCGGTACTGACCGTTTGAAGAGCGGCCCCGTCCTCCAGATGTTGGTGTTCCCCACGCAGCCCCGCGGAGGCTCCGTGATGTTCTCCTTCTCAAACAGCTCCTGCAGAGACTGAGCCACCACAGCCACGGCGTCCGCGATGTGAGCCGACTCGTTCTTACCGTTAATCAGCTGGAGGCCCAGCAGGCCTGCACCACGCGCAACACACACACAACGCGCAACACACACACAACACACAACACACACACACACACACACACACAAGAGAGAGGTTACACAAACACACACACACAGCAGGAGGCGTATTAGGCTGCAGACTGAAAACTGCCCTCATTCATACAGTTAATTAAAAGCTCACACTCACTTTAATTAATCTTACGGATGGAACTAAAGGAGTACTTCAGTGTCAATTAAACACACACTCAGGGCTTCAGGCGTCAGGTCAGTGTTCACTACCACCAAACTGCATGCTGGGAGTTTACTCTGAGAATCACAGCCGTTTGTCTCATGACAGAAGAAGCCTCACTGAGACATTATGAACCTTGTTTGGTGTTTTCCTTCAGCAGAAACTCGTCACACTGCAACAAGTATCTACATCTGCCTCCATCTGACTGAGAACAGCTGGCTAACACTGTTAGCATTCCCCAAGCAAACTACTGAGAACAGCTAATGTTTGGTAATGGTTCTAGTAGCTAGCGCTGTAGCTAGATAGTACTGCTAAGCTTCATCCCATTAAACCTAACATGTTTCACTAAAGCAGAGATCATCTTTTCCAATGACGGATGCTAACGGCGTTAGTAGAATGTTGCTCCGTTAGCTGAAGCACCAAATGCAGATTTGTTTTCCTCATAATGTGACAAGTATCTGATGAAGAGAAAAACAACATTAAAATCCATGATGTCACAGTAGTGCTTCATCGGTTTCTTTTCAGGGAATCGTCTCAGAAACAACCTCGGCACCATAGACAGGGGGTGGACACAATAACAGGAACACTTGCAGTATCTAATGCAACACAAAGTAGATCTAGTGAGGGGCTGTAGCATGGTTGTTGTATCGGGTTGTATTGTTCTTCAGCTACAGGTGTTCACGTTATTCTGTATACAAAACCTGGAAAAGTCTTTAAGAACCCTGGAGAACTTTGGGGAGGTGGAACGTTGTGGTCTAAGTATTCTGGTTCAGGTCTACAGGAGCCTCCACCTGGTCTTTCACCATGAGGATAATAAATAACTTAGTATACACCTGCCTCTAATATCATCATGTTATATTATTATAATATATATATATATATATATATATATACATATATATATATATATATATTATATTATTATAATGAGGAATCACATGCACCTGCTCAGGAACAAATTCTGATGGCAAAATGTATTTCAAATAAAAATGTATAATAATTCTAAAAAAAAATAATACTGAAGAAAATAAATAATACAAATAATATAAATACTAAACATAATATTGATAATAATATAAATTATAATAATAATATAAATATAATAATCAGAGCTTAAATTCTTGCTGGTTTTGTTCTGTTTCAGACAAATATCTTGCCTGTAAATCCAAACTTGGTGTAGAAATAACAAACAACAGTCTGATGACATTCTGGCAAAAATAATTCTCAACTCAAGGTCCACATGATAGATTTCTTCCGGACCTTTTTGCCACGTCTCGTTGCCTTCATCAGCCTCCAACGGGATGTGGCTGAAAGCTCTGCAGTAAATGGAGTATGTGGACCTTTGAGCGAATGTTCCAGTTCAAACCTGGAGATGATTCGTCTGAAAGCCTGAAGGAGGAGATAGCGATAAAGTCTGAAATATGAGCGCTGTGACCCAGGAGGGTTAAAGTCAAGAGTCAATCTAAAACGTTTTCCCTCAAAAGAAACCTTCAAAGTTCTCCAACAGACAAAAGCAGCTGAGGGATATCTTCAGAGTTCAGTCCTGCTCCACTCTTAACATCATGATGGATGATTCTTTGACTCATCGATGGGGAGACGGGGACGTGTGCAAAAACAACACATCATTTTTAAGAGTGCAGCAGCTGGTGAGGATGCTTATTCTGAGACAAACGGAGCAGGGAGCCGATTACCCAGCAGCCACTGCTGTTATCAGCTCACAGGAAGTCCGAAATTTGGGATCCCAGAGGATCTTTACGTGGCCAAAAGTATGTGGACAGCCTAAGTGTCATGTGACACCAGGTTCATGAATGAGCTGCTCTGATAGGGGGGGGGGGGGGGGGGGGGGGGGGGGGGGGGGGGGGGGGGG